TCGGCAGTGACACTTTATTCCTATATAAAAAAATGTAGATGCCAAGATGAGAGCTGATGTCGTCAGAAAGGTCATTAATGAAGATTAGAAACAGTGTAGGACCAAGGCTTTCAAGATGTCTATAGCTATGGCCTGAACTTCACCATTTTTATTTAGAGCATGATAGACTCTTTCTGCAATTATCATCAGTACATCAGCAGTTAACCTGGAGAAACCAAAGTCATATTGATTTTCTGAGAAAAGGTACTGCAATGAGTGATGCTGAACCAATTCAGATGTATATAATTGTCTTTTAAAAAAAATAAAATATAATATGAGCTGATCTCGGTGAAAAACTAATGATGATTTATGCATGCTGTGTTGATTATATTCTTCACTTTGCTCTCACTTGTGTATTTTTTTCTCTGTTTCTTTTTGTCTCGACCCATTTTATTTATCTTGTGACCCACTGAAGTGGAGGGACCCACAGATTGAAAAACCCTGCATTAGATAATATAAAGAATTTTGTCTTCAATCAAACTATCAAAGCATATAATAATTATTATTGTGTATTTATATTTTTCCTGTACCATCTGGAGTAGGAATGGAAGTAAATCAACTTAAGTTAGTAAATTTATGAATGATTGCTTCCCTTAATCATTATAATAATCTATACAAATAAAATATTTATCTGCATTTAGACAAAATTAATTCCTGAGCAAAATGAACCATTTAATTAATCAGTTCTTTTACTCCTACATTTCTTAGATTGTAGCCTTATTTGTTCAAGCTTTTCATGTCAGGCACTCAGATAACTTTGTCTATTAAGTGATCATCTTGCTTCAACTTGGTTTTGAAAATAGGCTTTGTAGTCTTTATCTCATTTCATTTCATTATCAAAACTTTTCTAACATTTTATCTGAATGTGTGAATTTAGCGTTAACAATGTAGATGTAATTACAAGTTAACATATTATTTAAATACATTTTAGTTTTGCATTGGTATTTAAGCTTCAACACAACTTTGCTCTATGAATGTAGAATTAAGGTTAAAGAATTCCCTATGATTTACATTGTTTTGTACATTTAAGATTATTTTGTCCAGTGAGCATCCTAAAATAGAAAATTCCCTTGGAGAATGCAGCAGATTTGAATGAGAGCAAAAATGAATGTATTGATTGCAACTATGCCAGCATCAGATACAGGTACATCAGGACACTGACAGATATTTGCAGTCATCACAGTAGCACCATGAATAACTAAGGACACAGGTCAGGAGAGGATAAGGAAAGGATAATGAAACCAAGGAAGAAGTTAATGTAAGAAGCATGAGAGAACATATATATATATATATATATATATATATATATATATATATATACACACACACACACACACACACACACACACATATATATATATATATAAAAAGTGTGGATGGTCCGACACAAGCCTTCACCACTTGAAACAAATCATTGACTTAGTTTTCTGACAACTACATCTAATTAGTTCCACACATATCTGGCTACTGCGAAAAACTCTACGAAACATCAACTTCAACTTGGCACTTGGAATGTACGAACTCTCCAACAATTCAGCACCAGAAAGATAAACAGCTTTGGTCGCATTGGAGCTAAAGAAGTATGACATTAATATAGCTGCTCTGAGAAGTAACCATCATTCGACTCCATAAAACGAGAAAGCAAAATAAGCTATCTAGCAGTGTTCCTGCTGCACTTGGATACAATACATTCTCCTGTACTGTTTGTGGTCTTTTGTGCAATTCTCAAGCCAGTCTCAAACGGCATGCAGATAATTAGTTCATGGTCATTGGAACCTCATATGTCAAACTCGATGGGAGAATCCATCACACACATATATATATATATAGGACTCCATGTAAAGAAAGACTTAAAATTCTGAAAACTGTTTACAGTAATAAGAAATCAAACAAGAAAATCTGAGAGTTGAGTTCTTTACATTCACTTGCCTGTAATTATCCTTGGAAAAGTATGAATCTCTCATCTCCTCACAGCTACAAGTAAAATAGTAGATCAGACCAGACTCTTTAGCCATGGTTGCTAACCAGTCTAGAAGAATAACTCTGAATTCAAAACCAGTTGGGCATGGGGCTAGCAACTCCATCTCAAATCACACAATACTTACTCTAGATTCAACAGCAGCAATGAATAGCATGATTTGAGCTGTAACCCTTTTCTCCTCAGGGCAATATATTCTATGGAAGTTAACTAGTTTTCTATACACACACACACACACACACACACATATATATATATATATATACACACACATATATATATATATATATATATATATATATATATATATATATTATGAGACATTTTATGTTTATACATTCTTTTTTTTATAGATACAAATATTTAAGTAAATGCTCTGTTTATAATTAACAGTATTAGCAACATTTACCGTTCTGAATGTCCGAGAAATTTTCATAGAAAATAATAAACAGAGCATTTAAAATATATATATATATAAGGTGGTAATAAAGTCGCTATGCAGTTATGATAACAATTAAGACAAAGCAATTAATCATTAATAAACAGTTCAGAAATTGAATTAATAACAATAAAATGCTGTGGAAAACAATACTGTTCAAACTGGAAGCCACCTGCTTCAATGCTTTGCTTTTTTATTACAAGTAACTCTATAGTGACTTTATTGCTAACCTGTGTGTGTTTTTGATGTTTGTATTTTGGTGAAAAATAATAATCCCTATTTGATGTATGTTCTTACTGCTGTGTTCATATTTTATTATTTTTCTGATTTTTTATGTAATTGATTTTCATAATGTTATTTTCGTTTTTTGGTACAGATATTTCAGCATGCCGAGTAGATTTATTTAATTATTTAATATTGCACATAGAAATTCTCAGACAAAAAGATTAACAGAAATATCAATATTGATAGTTACACAAAGCCAGTGCTTAACGGGATTTAACTGCTTATGTGAGAGATAAATTACACACACATTTGAATTAAGTGAGCCTGACTTAACACGTCTTTATCATCTGGTATTTATAATCATACTTTACAAGGATTAACTGGTTTTCTACACAAATATATTGTTAGGTTTGAGATTCATTTTTATTCTTGTCTTTGAGGAATGTCTAGTCCATGCCTCACCCAGGATTTTTGTCTAGCCTCTATGTAGTACCTCACCACTTTTATACACTATAATGTAGTTTTATATATATTTTAATAATCTTACATTTATGAAAAACTCCGATGAAAGAATTGAGGCCATAGCTAATTCCTATATAGTTTTCAGTTTTGTTTCACTGAAATGAAATTAACAAAAACATTTCTGAGGAATTCTATGGCAGGCTAACATTGCATTGCTATCAAGTGAAGGTTAATGAGCTGAGATGATTGTCTTATAATGTTTTGTTAAGGAATTTGGTAGCCACCATGATAATCACAGAATTAAACAGCGTTAAATCTGTGGAGATTATTTGTGAACTGCCTTCTCAATGCTACTACTGCTACTATTTGAGAAAAAAACTGTTCAATTTACTTGCATTTTATTTACTAACTAGCTCAAATCTACACTCTGTGCAGACTTTTAAGCTAACCACCAGCGCCAAAAAACTGAGACCTCTGATCCAGCTCAGCAATGATAATTTTGAAGAAATAACCTAGAATTCTTCAATTCACTTCATGGAACTTCAAAACAACACTGTAACTCTGATTTGGGATATAATTTGGGCCAACACTCTGATTTGGGCTGAAATTCCAATACAGGCTGAAATTGAGTGTTTCAAATCGCAAACTCCACGGAACTTCAATTGAGTTGAGTTCTTCAAATCACTAACTCTGTAAGACAAAACCTCACATCAACTCTGATTCCCTGGTATTTTGAAGAAATAAAAATTGATTTTCTCAATTCACAAAGTTTTAGAGATATTTTAAACTGAATTTAAAACAAAAATTTCCAAATTCACAAAGTTTTTGTGTTTGTTTAAACTCAATGGAAATTAAAAACTTTTAAAATCATTAATTTTTTTTCATTTATTTTAAAGTTTAAATTTTTAACTGTTCTCTCCTCATCTGGACACAAATTCAAATGTTGGATGTTCAAGCACCAGATGAAGGACGGATTTTCAATCCCAGGATCATCCTGATTGCAGAAAGCTATATGTAGAGCAAGTTGGAGACGTTTCAGAGACATGAAGGAACAGACAGAATGTGTTGCTTTTTATAGAAGTAGTAATAACAAGATCTTAAGAGGAATTTTTCAGAGTTGTACAAATTAGCAAGGGGAGGCATAAAAATAAGAAACATTCTCATTTCATTTATTTTGAGTTATGCCTCCTCTTTGACACAAATTAATCTTGCTTGTCAAATGCTCTGTTTGAAAAACAAAAAAAATTATTTACTCTCCTAACATGGTGGTAATAATGGAGGAATTAAGATAATTAAAAAGTAAAGGAGAAAAGGGAATAGATCATTAAATGTTTGTTATAATTCTAAGAAACAACTTTATTTTATAATTCACAATGATCAAAATAGTATTTATTTGTTAGTCAAGCTAGCTTGGATATTCAGGAGGCTATCATACCATCCATCACAGTCCTGCATCAAGGTTGGAAGTCAGTAAAATTGGATAGATGAAAATTTTTGGAAACTGTCAATAATTGTGGCTAATATAAAAAGCCACAAGTGACCAACAGTTCAAATGTACTGGCTTTGTTCAATTACTGATCATGGGAACTCTGTCCCAGAACTGTAACTAAGATCTGCTCAGTACAAACCATAGGTTGGCTCTGTGGAGGTTGAAGAAAAACAAAAAGGCCTGAGCAGGTTTCTACAGCAAGGATTAGCTTGCCGCTCTTGTAGAGAGGCATACTCTAGAAGTGAGTATCCAGCTATTATTATATTTACAGTCTAAGTTGTGCTTTTATATAAAAAAAAATTAGGTTCATTAGAGGGCAGCATCTGAAACTAAAATTTGAATAGGTATTGATATATACACAGAAGGCTTACAGCCATATCACATTGAAACACCAGTTCTTGTATGATCACCAAAATTAAGCAATGTTGAGCCAGGTCAGTACCTAGATGAGTCACCACTTAGGAATATCAGGTGATGTAGACTTGGATGTGCAGGTGGTGTAAAGGAATTGGAAATCAGAGAGCTGAGTTCCAATTCCAGTCAGGTTCATTAAATTCACTTCGACACAAATACCCTTGGGAAAGTAATAAATCCACCTCTTCTCCCCCAGCTATGTGTTAATTAATAAGACGTATCAATAAATCATTATTTATGATCTAAAATTATTTTCTGGCTTTAAATAACCTACAAAAGGTTGATAAAAAAAAATCAATCAATAAATATACACAGAAGCTTCATTGGAATTGAGCATATATAGGTTTATATTTGAATACCACCTCCACTCTTATAAGCACAATCTACATCTTATATATATTGTAATGTTGCCACACCTTGAAGATCAAACTATTAATGAATATTCTCTTCAGTAATTTCTATTGTTCATCCAATGCAAGCCTGAAGCGCCACTCAAGGGAGAGGATTACTGAATGGAGATGTTTTATGTATGTAAGAATTGTAGATTATGAGAATATATAGGATAGATAACAGTTGATGCTCAACTTGAAGAGGCTAAGATTATAGAAGAGAGTAAGTACAGATTGTGAGAATATGTGGATAGGTAATGGTTGACCCTTGACTTGAAAAGGCTAAGATTGTAGTGGCTGTTCTACAAAGCAGCAACTTTTGGGAATAAGCTGTCTAAATGGATCTTCCTTCTTACCAAAGTTATATGAAGGAAATAAAGATGGTTCACCCTGGTGTATATGGCATGGTAGGTTTATCTGTAAAGGTCTGAATTGGTGGAACTAGGGAATAGAGCTTGTCAGAACATTTCTCTTGTATTGTTTCATAGTTCAGACATGATAAAATATCCTGAACAAATTTATTTAAATTATAAAACTTGATAAAAACAACTCTTCTAGCCAATTAACAAATACAGAAAATTATGAGAGAAGATGTATTAAAAAATATGATATCATATTTAACCAACTTGGGAGGGGAATGTGAAAGGTGTCGACTCAAATGAAGAGGTTTTACTTGCATGACCAAGAGTTGTGCAGGTGTTACTTCAGAAAAAATTTACATAATATATTTAAGTAGAATTTAACACAAAGAAACTGTACTTATTAAATTAAATTTATGTGTAGAATATATGAATATTAATTAGATATGATGTCATTTGTATTTGATATAAAACAATATAATTTTGTTTGAAAACTGCTAATTTCATTTATTTCTGTAGACAACAATGTCCACCTATCCACAAACTTAGGAAGACGGTTTCTGTACGAGTTTTCTATTTGATATGTAAATATTTGCCAAGTAAATTTAAGAAGCTTGTTTTCTTTTGCAATTTTTCCCAACTATATTTGATAAAAGAAAAAAAAGAATCATTTTACATGAATGCACATTGTAAATTATATGCAATTGTCATTCTGTGATAAAACTTCTGCACTGTTATTTATTTTTCTTTCTTTAAAATGTATTATACTCATTCTCTTTGTATAAAAATATTAATTAAAAAACAAATTTCATATGTTAATTTCATTTACCCACATTTTATTTTTACTCATTATATTAATGAGTTCATAAAATTCCAAAACACACTTCTCTTCAGATACAGTTTTTTTAAACACAAGGTTTTTAGGGCTTTGATAAAAATATCCCAACACTATTAAGTAACAATTGGGATATTTATAAAACAATATTAACAATTCTGTTGTTTTTCATAGATATTTTCTTGGCATTATAGGACTGAAAGAGTTAGGAAAGATTTGTTTAAAAAAAAATAGGCATTTTTCCAGAATCTGATTTAATGTGCAATGTAGATCTTTGTATACATAAATATTTAACAAGTTAGTTGCAATTAACGAATATGTACTTGATCTTTCATTAATTTCTTTCTCTCTCTAACTATTGCCATATGCATGGTTATTCTTAACTAATGTTATGCTTATAATGTTATAATTACAATGTCATGTTTAGAATGTTAAAATTACGCTGACATGCTCATAATGTTATAATAATAATGTTATGATTTTATGATTATAATATTAATGTTATAATGCTTATAATGTATTATTTATGTCTTTCAGATTAGGTATTCAATATATAGCATTTGTTCTTTTTCAATTTATTAATACTTTCCTTTCAGAAGTGTTGACTGAAAAAAACTCTCAGGTGATCATATAGGAGAGTAACTCTGAAAAAAACATGATTTAATCTTTGGAGTCAATGATATATCAAAAATTTAAGTTGTGCTGTTAGGTATCATGTCATGGGGAGACACAGTTATCTGTCAGCGGCAAGGTGCATGGCTTGGAGGAGAGATATCTCATGGGTTCTGAGAGTGTCTGCCACTGAGTTGCTCCAGCATTTTCTTGGTCTGCCTCTTGCTCTCCAGCAAGAGTACCTGAGGGCATATTCTCATAGGGCTGGTTGGTTGATAGGCATACAAGTGAGGTGTTCGAACCACTTGATCCTCTGTCATTCGATGTGTTGTTTGATTGGTATTGCTTCTACCATATCTCTTATTGCCTCATTTCTGATCTTGTCTCACCTGGTTTTGTTCACTGCTTTCCTCAGGCATTTCATCTCACAAAAGGATATATATATATATATATATTGTGTGTGTTTGTGTGTCTATATGTGTGTGTGTGTGTATATATGCATATATATGTATGTGTGTGTGTATATATGTATGTATATATGTTTGTATTTGTGAATATGTATATATATATATATACTCAATTACATTTTACTATATACATATTACATCTAGTTGCTGATGGTTGCACATATGGTTGACTTGACCATACAACAGCATTTACATAACAATTCTTGCTGTGCTGGGCCATACAGTATGCTGTTTTAGAACCATTAACTGGGCAAAGGCCAATTTTCACATGAGTCTATCTACATACATACCAGGAAGCTAGAACTGTACAAACAGAAGCTTATAAATATCAGTTCTTAACACTCTCTCTCATACAATACATTATTGAAGTGTGTCGTGTTTGTCCTTTTTCTCTGTATTGATGAAATTTCCCCTCTGATGAATCTGAAGCAAAAATGATTAATTATAGGTACCAACATATTAATCCACATCATTACTAAAATGGGATGGTGAGCATTAAGTGGTTAATACCCTGAAGTCAAGACATTCATTAAGTCAGCCATTTGTCAATCAAAACCAATTCTTACAGAATGGAAGACATGGCGAAGAAACTCATATCAACTAGAGTAGGTGATTTGACTGTGCAGGTAGTATAATGCAGTCTAGCTGTAAAGGTCTCACTGGTGGAATTAGTGAATGGAGCTCATTTGTCATGGAAATAGTAAATGATGCTGCATCTTTGAAAAATAAATCTCCCTCTCCCCCACCCACAAGACCGTATAAATGATTCTGAACTCTGTGAAGGCTAGAAAGTGGGGATTGAATAGCTCCATCTAAGGTATGGCAGCAGTATTTCATTTTTGGTCTCATCTGACTCTTGTAAAGATAAAGCAGGACAGAATAAATAAGGTACTTTCTGGAGCAAGAGAATGAGTTGACCATTTATGGGATAGCATTATGAAAACACTGTTCATCAGAAATGGTTATAATCCTCATGATATACTCTGTGGAACATCTTCCACACATGTTGTTGACTTAGAATCGCTGCAACTTAAGACTGTTCGATTACGATCTCAAATTGATATGTTTGGGCATCACTGCATCTAGCAGCACAAGTGTTTCCCAGTTTGTTTTTTGACAGTTTCCACCCCAGCTCCTAGCAGTGGTAACATTCAATTGTCTCTGTTTTTTGCGCATATATTAGACTGACTGAACTGTAGTATGCAGTGTTTGACTTCAACCTGACGAACATAAAAATAAGAAACTAAACAATGTGTAGAGAGATGATACAAATAATATCAAATGTAAAGAAAACGTAACAATTATAAAAAATACAATAATAACTAAAGAAAGATTGCAAAATTAATTACAGGCCGATTTACAACCAGATTGATTTACAATCCATAGATCATAACCTGTTGTGGTTGTAAGTTGATGAAGACCTGTATGTGGACAGAATGTACTTATGCTTTGTTTCGTTAAGCAGACTAGCTCGTCATCTGTAATCAATCATTGTGTAAATGAATGGCTTTAAACTGTCATTAAAATCAGTCTTGTACTCTCTCTTGGTGTAAATTTTTCTTTGCACCTGTATTTAGTTTTTATGTATGTTTAGCAAATATTAAATCAACCGTACTGTAGTATGAAATATTTGACTTCAACCTGACAAGCATAAAAAATAAGAAACAAAACAATTTGTAGAGAGATGATAGAAATTGTATCAAACGTAAAGAAACTGTAACAATTATAAAAAAAAATACAATAATGCCGAAATAAATATAAAAAGATTGCAGGCTGACTTTACGACCCAATCAATTTATGACATGTTGGTGGTAACCAGTTGTGGCCATAATTTGACAATGACTTGTACCTAACTTTTACAATGTTCCTCATGTCTTAAGCCAAATAAAGAAAAAGCTAATTGATGAGTTTACAATGATTAGCTAATTTAAACATAGCGCTATTATACTGAGAAAGCCATGGATGTAGCATGTGAACACTTGAAGAGGTTTTAATGAAAATAGTTAAAATGATATATGCTTAGACTCAGAAATAGTTGAAATTCTTCAGATACATAATGAGAAAGAGGGTTTGGAGCACATATTAAAGGCTAGGAAGAAGTAGTAACCTAACAAGATTATGTAAATAGATGGCAGAAAAGGAACAGGGGGAAGGTATAGTCAGGGGTCAAACATTGCTGAGTGCTTACAAAGGATAGGAATTTGTGGCAAGCTATGACTGTCCACATCCTGAAAGTGTACATTATGAAAAAGATGATGAGGATGCTGTTAAACTCTGTTAAGCTAATCTGTAAGAGTTTTTGAAGAGAACATGGCTCTTTGGTTGATTTTTATCAACTGTATTTTGAGAGTTCAAATCATGTTTGAAGCAGTATATGTCATTTTCGTTTTTTTTTTAAATAATG